TCGTATCGGGAATGATGTCTGTAGTTTCTACCGCTTTACTGCCAACTGCTGCCTACCTGGGCCTTCGCTATCTCTTGGTCTTTCGATTCATACAGGTTAGATTTTCTATTGATGGGCAGAAATTACGGTAACAAGATAAAGCCGTCCTAAAAAAACGGCGGAAAGTTCTTGATTAACAACACCATCATAATGACGAAAGGTTATCGGGCAGGAAACCACCTTGGAGTGGCCGTTTTCTGCGTTGATACATACACGTAGACTTCCTGAACGTCACCGACCTTGTTGTGTGGGTAAGTATTGTCGGGTAGATGCAAGGCTTTCAAGAGCAACTGCTCGACTAATCCGTATTTCTGCTTTGTGCTTGTGGCAGAGGTTTGCTTTAGGCATCAATACGAAGCATTTTATTTTATATGGCTCCAGCAGGAAAAGTCATGTTGCCTCTTCTTTATAAGATGAACCACGATATTCTATGTATTGCCATCAATTTTTGGACAATCTGCGCATTATGGAATGGCGATCTGGGATGACAATCTTGCTCTGATGCCCTATTTTTTCTAGTAAAGGTCCTCTCGGTTCGAAGTATCACCAAAACTGAAGGATTTCGTTATTGCTCCTGCTGTTCAGTTTTATATCCTGAGCAGTAGAGGAAGGGTGTCTCCAAGTCATGATTCCTGCTCCTATGCTCGGTCGCCGTTCTTATTCGCGACAACAGAATATCTTCTCATAATGGGGGAAGACCGATAATGAAACTCGTTACGGTCCCACTGGCACATAGAGCAAGAGTTAGACATTTTCATGCTTGCAAACCTTCCTGTTGGTGCGCACAATACATTGCAAGGATTTACGCAGTCTGAGCGACCAAGACGACGGAAAGGCACTGACTTCCAGCGGCATCTTCACGCTGATCTCAAGAAATCGCTCGTGGAGTCACAGAAGCGATCTTCTCACATCGAGACCAATAGGTGTTGAAAGATAGCTTATTTGGCTCTGTATGGCGTTTGATGGAAATTTTATGGAACCTCTGAATCGTGCAATGCACTGTAACACAATCAAACAGCTCGTCTTAGCAAAGTAGTGGTTGTTTCCGAGAGTTCAGGGATTGTCCATTCGAAATTGTATTTTTCATGTGACGAAAATGAAGGTGTAACACTAACTTATCAAAATGAATACGCAGGATATAAATGAGAAGTTTCAGATCTTTGGAACCGAAAAGTGTTAGCGGCACAATTTTGTTATCGACATTGTTGACAACACTGTAAAATGTTGTTATTGAATGCACTCTTGAACCACTCTTCTACTTCAAAGTTCATAAACATAGCGGAACTTTCTGCGTACGAACACTACAATGTATACTATAGAAGTTAGGGCGGAAGTGGTGTAGTGGCAAGTGGCACGCTTACCACGCGAGCGGTCCGGGATCAAATCCTGGGTCGTGAGTCGCCCGGCCAACCAAGCCTTCCATCCCTCCGGGGTCGGTTAATTGGTACCAGACTTGTCTGGGAGGATAAAAACACTGACTTGTACATCGGCTGGCCCCCGCAAGTCATTGTATAGGCCACATCGCATTCAAACGCCACTACGAATGTACAAATGGAAGTAGAATGCGTGCCGCATCCCAAAAAGGGATTGATCAACGGCAAATGCTTTATCCTTTTATCCTTATGAGATGTCGATCAACAATGTAGCAAGCTTGCCGTCATCCAAGCATTTTTATCAAGATGCGGGAGAACTAATAAGTATGAACGATGACTCTGGATCAACCAGTCTCTTCGTGAGCCATAGTCAGTTCCATTTAGGATCGTAGTTGCATGAAGATACGATTTGACCTTTACAAAGGACCCTAGAAACCAGCCGATGCAGGACCAGTTTTCTTTTCCTTTCTGGTACCAATTACTCGATTACGAAGTTACAATGAGCACACGGCGCAAAGTCTCGCCTTGATTTGAATCAAGTCAAGACACTGAGCTGTGCGATTGGTAACCAGCTGTTTTTACGTTTACCTCTAAACTACCTCGCTCTCAGGAGTGACCAGTACAACTTTAATAGACCTTGTTTTAGAAACCATGAAATAAGTGTCCACACGTCATCCTACCTACGTGAAACACAAGTCCATAATTGTTTTTTTTGTTTGATAACATATATGCTTCTCTGTTCAAGCACATTTGAATTTCCAGGGTTTAGCGTACTCCGCTGACTTTGCAGCAATTGGGATTCTTTGTGTGCGTTGGGCGCCGCTTTCGCAAATGGGTCTCTTCATTAGTGCTCTGACAAGCTTCACCTCCGTCTCTGTTATCGTTACAGATCCCTTGACCGCTTGGGTAAGTCTTGATTGCTTTGAATTTGAAAGGATTCTCTTTCTGAAAATATGGGATACACTCAATTTTTTTGCACTAACCAAAATGTTTTCTACTACTTACCATACTTCACCTACCACTGCGTCGCTTTGGTCAAAAGTCAGATCTATTCGCCCTTTCCCAGCTTTTGGACTATTCTCTAAGGCTGATGTCAGAAGCGAATGCAGCGATTCGCTAGCGAAAAAGCGTTGCGCCAGCGAATCACTCGCAACCCCACTCAGAAGAACACTTTCTCGCCACGTCCAAACAATGCCGAATCGCTGGTACATAGTTCGATCCGCTGGTTCATCGCTCGATTCGCTGGTGCAGCGCTCGTTCGCAGGATTCCCAGTCTGGCATCGGCCTAAGAATATTCTGTTAAGCACAAGATCGAGCTGATTCAAGGATACTTGACGTCTAAGAAGCAGGATCAGCGGTCATTCGATATTTGGGCTTAATAGCCATGTAACTCTGTCAACCAAGCAGCGCTACGCGACGTAATTGCTCTCCAGTGGTGGCGATCTTTAACAGCCTACCCGCATAAAAATAAAAGCATGGGTCCAGGTCAACTTAGTGTGTTATTTTGTTCGGAAATTAGACAAGAAGTGCGATGAGGAACATGAGTGGGAATAGACTGGTACGAGGCAAGGCATTAGCGCTTTTGCCTTGCGCACTTGAGTAGCAGCTCCTGGGATCTTTCTTTCTACAGGAAGGGGTACCTCTTGCCACTAAATCCAGAGCCGCGATTCAACGGGAAGTCGCGTGGCTGACTGAAGTTGTCGAAAACGTCTGATGAACGCGTCCGGTTAGAGGCAAGTGCATAACACGATGTTGATAAATAACCATCATGCGCTTGGTTCTTATCGAGTACCATCTTTGACAACATTCCACTCGAAACACACGTCTAGTTCTCCAATCTGCGCGACGTATTCGCTACAACTACGCGCCGGGAACAGAACAAGCCTTTTTGTCTTCAATTCAGTGCATCTCATTGATTAGATAACCAGTCGTTCACTTGCACACTTATTTTTTCTTAGATCCAACTTTTTGAAACAGTCAGTGTATATCATATCTGATGCGCAATTACTTTTCAATAAGATGACGGAGAACCGCCTAGTACTTCAGAATTGTCCACAAAGGCCTTGTGGTTGAGCGGTGATCGTCGACGCTGGACGTTCACCATTATTATCTTTATTATATTATCGTCTAAATTTATCTGTTCATTTTAGCTATGCGATTCGACGCTTGGATGGCGGTCATCCTTTTATCTCCATGCAGCTTTTGGGTTTGTCGTCTTCACGCTGTGGGCCATATTCTATGTTGACGATCCACATTTACATCCGAATGTTAGCGAAAAGGAGTTGGCTAAGATTCAAAAGGAGAAAACACAGGCCCATATCGATCGAG